AGTTTAGTGTTTCTCTGCTGTTCACACCTCGTTCAGCTCAAGAAGGGATTAATTAGCTAATAATATCAGGTATTTTAACCAGGAGACCACAGTTATGCAGTGGAGGGGTTGCAGGACTGGAGCTGAACTCTGAACTAACTGCATTAACAAACTTACAAAATCACGTCTGTCGAAACACGACGTCGTTTTCAGACCCACGACATTCAGTCTGATATTTAACGTTTATGTTTCTCCATTCAAATCTTATTTAAATCTCCAGAAACAGAGAGTAAAGTTATACCGGCTGTCCGCAGCTCCGTTAGGGGGACGACTGTTCATCTCTCGGCTGTTAACATTAGCTAAAGTTATCTAAAGGCCAGCATTGATCTCATGTTAATTAGCTGATGTCATCTTACTCTTCCCAAGAAAACAAAGAGTTTTTCTTCTCTTTATGCAACACCACGAGATCCTTCACTCACCCTGATGTGAAGAGCCGGTGGGCTTCTGTGCTTTTCAATCCTCTGAGAGACTCTCCAGAACAGGGAGAGGGGCTGAGTATGAGATAAATATAAATGTCAGGAAAAATTTGGTAGCTTTCTGCCAGTTTAAGTGGGACCAAGAGTTCAGGAGGAAACTGTATAAAGATCACAGCCTATTTTACTGACTTTGTTGAGGTGACATTTTTCTCTTCCAAAGTAAGGGGAGTAATTTTAGCCATCCTTCTAGTTACAATCATGCGGAGCAGCGAAGCCAGAAATTCTGTCCCAAATATGGTGGCCACAAAAGAAACGTCACGTAACTGAAACACTAGGATACAGCGCCAAAAAGAGTTCTGCTATTATTACAACATCAGGCTTGTAACAATGGAGGAACCCTTTTTGGTGCCATATAGAACCATTTTCAAAAACATTTTGCGTAGAATCATATACAACCCATTCTCCATCCATCTGAAGAGCCACTTCACCATGCAAAGAATCATTTAGTTATATAAGTGGTTATCCATCTTTTTAGAACCACTGTCTTCACTAAAAACCCTTGAAGAACCATTTATTTTAAGAGTGACACAAAGCCTTTCAGTGTTGTACTTTCTGATTAAAGAATAATTCATTTCTGGTAATGTTGTTAGATATGGATCTAATGATGGACTGACAAAAATTACAGCCTTTAGTACATTTTCTACCCTTACATTGAGAACAGACATTGAACAATGTGTTTGATTATTAACTTCAGACATGGAATAAGAACTCAGTGTGGTGAACTCATTGGTTTTATGTGGGAATGAATGGGCCTCTGCCTAAAAGTGCTGAGTGCTGAAAAAAAAAAATAGTCCCTAACTTTGCTATGTTGACTCAAGTTATCCCACACTCAAGTATCACTCAATATTTTTTGCCAGATATTTAGTGTCATGGGTCTGCTAACACACTTGTTTACTTTACAAGCTTCTTTACTTTACGACATGTACACTGGAACATTAATTAATAAATCAATAACAATATGACTGACTGCACAGTAAAACATTTAAAGCGAGAAATCAATGTATAGCCGATCTGGAATCAGGATTCCTCACACCAAACAGACAACAAACTAACTTACATGGTAATTTACTGACCATTACAGCACCGGACACAAGCTAACTTACAGGAGACTCCAAACAAGAGAGGGGGTTCAGTCCCTGATTGGCATCTGGCAGCAGGAAGTGGCAGCTCTGCCATCCAGAAATGGCACATACTGGCATGTGCCACTTAGCGAATGGCACCTGCCATCGATAACTGGTAACGAGTGGCAACTGCCGCTCACGCCGCTCAGTAAGTGGCACTCACCAGTGGCACCAGCCCCACAAATATCCAAGCAGCCGCTGTCCAGAGTCACTGCTTTACTCACAGGAGCTGTTGAGAGGCAGGCACCATTTCTGTGGGGCTGGTGCCACTGGTGAGTGCCACTTACCGAGCGGTGTAAGCGGCAGATGGCACTCGTTACCAGTTATCGATGGCAGGTGCATGCCAGTACGTGCCATTTCCGGACGGCGGAGCTGCCCATTCTTGCTGCCAGATGCCAATCAGGGACTGAACACTTGCTGGCAAACAATTTTAACTTTCTGAATATTTCAGTCATTGGGATGTAAACTGAATCATTCAGAGTGGTTTGGTGTGAAATCATTCATAGAGACTCAGATTTCTTCACAGTGGTGGTGATAGGAATCAGGGGTCACCATGACTACAACACAAATATAACCATTGTATTTACTATACAAAACCACCAGTGAACCTACACGTCTTCTGAGTTTTATATGTCATGTTGATGAAGATCATAGTCATAAATCTGAACAAATAAGTTTTCTCTGGGGACTATTTTGCATCACCACACCCCGCGTGTACATCTCAGCCATGAGTGGACTAAAATAAAGTGGTAAATATACATCCGAGGCCAAAACTTAATCACAAAATAATCATAAAACAATGTTTCAGACATCAGGTAGAGTATAGGTAAGCATTCCATGTAATAACTTTCTGTAAGGGAGCTTTTAGAGGTGGACGTCTGGTTCCTATCACCACCACTGTAAACAATTCTGACTCGGTAAGTTTCTGTAGAACAGAGCATTTCAGACCAAACCACTCTAAACGACTCTGTTTACATCTAAACCAGTTAATTATGTAGAAAATCGGTGGATTTTCCCTTTAAGGCCCACTTTGTTCGCTAAATTAGCGGTTGCCGTGCTAGATACTGACTTGCCAGCTATTTCACAAAGTATTAAAAATGATATTTACCCGCTATCAAACCATTCTGAGGAAAATAACAGCTATTACGCCAACACTAACCTGCCTTGTGGAACAAAGCTGGGCTAGTTTGCTATCTTGCGTTAGTTATCCTGACCTAAGATAGCAGACCAGGATAAATGGACGAGTTGATTATCTAAAATACTGATAAAACTTGAATGGAAGTCTGTTAATATATCTCAGGATATTCATTTTAAGACTTAAAACACGGTGAAATGAACTGTTTTCCTCACCTGTAGCGGTTCTTAGGACCGTTGGACTGAGCTTCGCCTTTCCGTTAGGTTTCCGTTAAAATTTGAATTTGAAATGCGTGACTGCGCGCGCGGACCGCAGCGCGGACCGCTGAGGCGCGTTATTCAGCACTGATTCACCCACCGTAATTCACCTTAACAGTCATTAGGATAATTATTAGCCCTACCGACTGGACTGAGGATGAACATGTAAACTGCATTTTATTCCCTGCTGAAAAACAACCCCACAGAAAACACTAAGTGTTTCTGTTGGTTCCTAATGGTTTTATAATGTTGATGGGATTTTTTTCAGAATGTAAAGGATCATAATGGTGTATATACATACATACACTGATCAGGTGTAACATTATGACCACCTCCTTGTTTCTACGCTCATTGTCCATTTTATCAGCTCCACTTACTATATAGGTGCACTTTGTAGTTCTACAGTTACAGACTGTAGTCCATCTGTTTCTCTGCATACTTTGTTAGCCCCCTTTTACCCTGTTCTTCAGTGGCCAGGCCCCCATGGACCCTCACAGAGCAGGTACTATTTGGGTGGTGCATCATTCTCTGCACTGCAGTAACACTAACGTGGTGGTGGTGTGTTAGTGTGTGTTGCGCTGGTCTGAGTGGATCAGACACAGCAGTGCTGCTGGAGTTTTTAAACACTTCAGTGTCACTGCTGAACTGAGAATAGTCCACCAACCAAAAATATCCAGCCAACAGCGTCCTGTGACCACTGATGAAGGACTAGAGGATGACCAACACAAACTGTGCAGCAGCAGATGAGACTCCAGCAGTTTTTATGTGTGTGTGTGTGTGTGTGTGTGTGTGTGTGTGTGTGTGTGTGTGTATTTATTCATTAAGCAAAACTGCACAAACATTATTGGAATACATCAGTATGAAGTCCAGGCCTCTGCTTTAAAAACGTCTGCGTGCCGAATAAAGTCCATGGCAGCCATACAACAGTGACACCAAGCACTCCAAGCAGTATTTAAAAGGATGGCGGGAAGTGTTGGCCATATACTCGCCAGCAGGTGAGTAAGCAGCGGTCCACACGTCATGCCACACTGCCTTTGGGTCCAGATGTTCACTCTTTGTACTTTGTACGGACAGTTTGAGTGCAACTATTTTAAAACAGACCTTTACTTCCATCTGGCGGCAAGAAGTGGTATTACACTAAAAAGCAGAAGAAACTGGGCAATGAGTTTGAACAGGGATGAAGGCTGTGCTGGTCTGTTATGTTCAAACGATAGAAAATAGATATAAAGATGTACATATTATTTTGTTTAAACATTCGACAGCGAGAGAATAATAATAATAATAATAATATAATTATTATTATTATTATTATTAGTAGTAGTAGTATTAACAATGCACAATACTACAATACTACTGCAGCAACAACAAAAAACTAATAATAAAAATAAATAATAGTAATAATACTCCTTATTTTTCTAATTATTATTATTATTAATATAATGTTGATGTAGTTGTGTTTGTTGTTGGTGGTATAATTAATAGGACCAATACAGAACATGAATATACAATACTACGACGGTCATTTTTTGTTAATATTATTTGTAATTTATTTACTATTTATTTATGTATGATTCATAAATTGCGCATATATTACACTACATAACAATATTAATATTCCATATTATAATATCACACAACGATACTGTATATAATAACGTATAATAATAATAATAATAATAATAATAATAATAACAACAACAATGATTATTATTATTATTATTATTATTATTATTATTATTATTATGTAATATTTATAATTAGTATTGAGAAGTACCAGCGCTGCTGTTTAATCTGCTCTAGCGCAGTGAATTCAGTCTCCTTCTAATAAAATTTAATTTCTTATCTTTTTAATAACAAATGATGGATCGATCTCTAAGCCAATCAGTGGACAGCATCCGCTCCGGGTTTTCACCAATCAGAACGCACCGGCGGCGAACGCCCATGACGTCACCGCTCCGCAGTGTCGTGCACACGCACACACAAACACACACACACACACACACACACACACACCGCATTCAGGCTGACATTGAAGTGGGAAGGTAAGCATTACTGCAGATAGAAAATGCACCGCAGCTTGTTATTTTATTCTCATGCTGATTATTAATAGCGGATTGTTTACTGTGCCGCTCCGCACTGCCTCTATATTGCCGCACCGAGTTGGTCATGATGCAGCCTTTGCTTTTGTTTTGGGGCCTTTTGCTTCGCTTCTTCAGCCACAGCGTTTTGCTTTAGCCGTTAGCATGGCTGCCAGTAGCAGAGCAACATCTGTGCAAACGTCTAAATCAGCAGAAGCGCGTCTACAGTGTGGTCTGTTTGCTGCTGATATCGCAGTGAGTGAGATTTAAGGCTTCAAAACGTAAAGCAAACAGCTGCTTATATAAGCCTTGAGCAGCCTTATTCAGCTAACTTGTGGCTGGCTAGCTGGCTAACGTTAGCTGCAGTAAAATGACAGAGACCCAGATATTATTTTCTACCCATTTTATAAGCCTGAGCATCCACAATAAACTATAATAACAAGCTAGGTACAATAATGATAACAAAACTGTCAGTTTAGCACCGTCATTGTAGGTGTGGTACTGAGCTAACAAGTTAACAACCTTGGCTGAAGGTAGAAAGGCAGCCAGAGGAAACTTCTGAAACACTGTAATCAATAATTCTATATTGTTATATGTTATATACGTGTGTAAATGAGCAACAGCAGTGTACCTGTGCCTGCCACTACCACAGGGAATGGCTGTCCCACTTACTTGTTGGGTCTCATGAATAAATACTGCACTCTAAGACTCAGATCAAGCGATGGCTGTTCTTTTACACCACGCTTAGACTGAGTGAAATGCAGTTAACTTAATCTGCCGCGCTTGTGTCGAGTTAAAATGCTGCAAGATCACACATTATCATGTTACATAATGCCTTGCTGTAAATGACTCAGTGGGATTTCTTCTTGTCTCTCCCACTCAATGCACAAGCCAGTGAAATGCATCATGGCCACTGCATCATGTCTGGATCCAGACTTGGTGCGGGAGGTGCTGGAGTGCCCCATCTGCTTGGAGACGTACAATCAGGACCAGCTCCGGCCCAAGCTGCTCCAGTGCGGGCACTCAGTATGCCGGCAGTGCCTTGATAAGCTCCTAGCCAGCACCATCAATGGGGTGCGCTGCCCCTTCTGCAGCAAGGTGTCCCGCATGAGCAGCATTTCCCAGCTGGCCGACAACCTCACCGTGCTGAAGATCATCGACTGCGCAAGCTCGTGCAGCTCCGCGGCCGGCCTCATGTGCAAGTCCTGCAAGAATCGTCTGCCGCGGCAGTACTGCTGCGACTGTGGTGTGGTGCTGTGCGATGCTTGCAAGGGCGAAGGGCACCAGCATCAAGGCCACACTGTGCAGACCATCCGCACGGCTGCTGAGCAGCGCAGGAAGGACCTGGGCGCGAAGCTGGCTAACCTCCGAGAGGCCATGACCAATATTCAGAAGAAGAAAGCAGCCATAGACAGCGTGTCGAAATCCTTCCGCCTCAAGTACAAGGCCGTGCAGCAGGAGTACGCCAGGGCGGAGCTCCGGCTTCAAGAAGAGCTAGGCCGCTCGCGCCGTGCCTTTGCTGCCTCCATGGCGGAGGTGGAGAAGCTCAATGCTCAGATTTTGGAAGAGCAGACATACCTCCTGAACATTGCAGAGGTGCAAGTGGTGTCTCGTTGCGACTACCTCACCATGAGGATCAAGCAGACCGACACTGCTTTGCTGGAAGAGGGCGGTGGCAATGACGAGGAGGAGCTTGACTTAAAAAGCAGTCTGCCCGTGCTCTTGAAGCTGCAGGATCCTGAGCTGGTCAAGACAGAGCACCCACAGTCTTTAGACGTTGGTCAGCTGACGATTAAGCCATGTACAGTTAACACAGATGAGGAGGATGGCCTGGAGATAGCTGCCGCTGCAGCCCCTTTGGAACTGTATCGAGATGTAGACATGATAACTGCTGTAGAGGAAGCCGTGTGTGCCTCACCTGGAAGCTTCAAATCCAAGTCTGTGGATGGAGGAGGACCATCTCCAGCGGCAACAGGAGGTGCATCTGGGGGCCAGCTTTGCCAGTTTGTAAAGAAGATGGGCTGCAAGGGAAACCTCCCTGGCATGTTCAACTTGCCAGTGAGCATCTGCGTAACTCCACAAGGAGATGTGCTGGTAGCAGACCGAGGCAACTACCGCATCCAGATATTCAACCGCAAGGGCTTCCAGCGGGAGATCCGCCGCAACCCTAGCAGCATCGACAACTTTGTCCTGAGCTTCCTGGGTGCTGACTTGCCCAATCTCATCCCTCTGTCCATTGCCATTACCCCTCAGGGTCTCATCGGGGTCACGGACAACTACGACAACTCTGTCAAGGTTTACACCACGGATGGCCACTGCATCGCCTGCCATAAGAACCAGCTCATCAAGCCTTGGGGCATAGCCGCCATGCCTTCGGGTCAGTTTGTGGTGTCGGACGTAGAGGGAGGGAAGCTGTGGTGCCTGGCCGTGGATCGTAACGTTGGGGTGGTGAACTACAACAGGTTGTGCTCAGCTGTCAGGCCCAAATTTGTGACTTGTGACTCCTCGGGTACAGTGTACTTTACCCAGGGCTTGGGCCTTAACATTGAGAACAGACATAATGAACACCACCTGGAGGGTGGGTTCTCCATCGGGTCGGTGGGCACAGATGGACAGCTGGGGAAACAGCTTAGCCACTTCTTCTCCGAGACTGAGGACTTCCGTTGCATCACCGGCATGTGTGTGGACGCCAACGGAGACTTGCTAGTTACGGACAGTGGCCGGAAGGAAATCCTGCAGTTCCCCAAGGAAGGTGGCTATAACATTCTGATTCAGGAGGGCCTCACGTGCCCCGTGGGTGTTGCTGTTACCCATAAAGGACAGCTCCTGGTTTTAGATTGCTGGGACCATTGCGTCAAGGTCTACACATACTTGCAGAGGCGGCGTTCCTCAACTTGTTAAGCCTGCCATTGTCCAAAAATACAAGACACATGGATGCTTTGTTTCACTGCTGTGATTCACGGCTTTTCAGTGATCCCTGAACAGTGACTTGACCGCATTGAAGTGACATAAGTCGGGCAGTTGATACACTCTTTCACCACTGCCAACGAGAGATTGGTATGTGGGCTGTGTTTACCAATGTGGATGCTTTGGAATACGGCACAACAGATGGCAATTATTGACGAGTGTTGTCTTTGAGTGGGAGTGTTTGTCAATCAATAACGTCTACATCAGTGATTATTTTGACTGCTGTGCTGTGTTTGCATTAAGATGAAGGACTGTGAAGTTACGAGAAACTAAACAACACCCTGTAAGCTGCGAAAATGATACAAAGAAGGTTAAAGAGCTAAACGGACTGAAATATTTAATCTGGATACAAAAACTCTACATGCTTATCCACCTATTAATGATGTGAGTTTCTTGCTCATATCCTTTCCATATATCCCATAATTCAAGGTGCCCTCTTATACCTCTCATATCAAGAAACAAGTAGGCTATGTTTTCATTGTGCAACATATCAAATCCAGTGTAACGATGTCAATAAATCTTGGTATAAAACCGTTAACATGATGCATTACAGTGCTAAATAGGTAATTAATGTCTTGATTCAGTCGTCCGTTATCGTCAATCATTTAGTGGTTGTTTTGTACCGTACGCAGGTTTGTGCAACCATGTATGTGTTGTAGTTACCAAAGGATTTCAAATTCAGGATATATATGATCAGTACCACTGCAATACTTCCTTAATCAAAGGCAAGGAGGCAATTCAGTCAAAAGAGAATTGTGAGAAATAAAGCAGAACACTAGGCTATATTAAAATATTAGAGCATACAAGTGTCCTTTTTTCTACATGAAGCACAAGACTGTTGCTGTGTTCTTAAAAATTGGTGGCTTGTTTTTGAAAAGGAAATACTAGGGCTTCTGGAAATGAAAATATATTTAACTACATTTGCCAGTTTATTTTGTACTGTGAGGGATTTGAGACAATAACACACTCTTGTTGTCTGGAACTGTCAAAAGACATATCATTTTATTATGATTGATTGCCCCGAACTTGAAACTGCTGTTTGGTTCTGCTTAAGATATCGAAGCATAATCTTTTTTTAATAATTTAACATGAAACGCTAGATCCTAAACCATAAAACAGTGAGGAGGGCATCCTCAGATGATGTGGCGTTTTTTCCCTTATCACCATCAGCGTGATACCATCTGGAGTGAGTTTTTATTTTCTTTTTCTGATCGTGAGAGTGTGCAGTGTGACTCATCAAAATTTGGTTGTGGTCAAGATCAAATCGGGTAGTTGAGCAAATTTAGGGAGTTGAATTCTGCACTGAAAACACAGTGACAGTTGAATTTACTTGAATCAAATCCGTACATCATTTTCACATGAATAATTGTTATTGTGAAACATAAAGACAAAACTGACTTGATGTGCACTCCTAAAAATAAAGGTACCAAAAAGGGTTCTTAAAGCTGTCTGTCACACTTTATTTCCCTTATAGATGATCTACGGCAGGGGTGCCCAATCCTGGTCCTGGAAATCTACCACCTCGTAGAGTTCAGCTCCTACCCTAATCTAGCACACCTGATCCAGGTAATTAACGCCTTCAGAGGCACCTAAATATTAGAGCCAGGTGTGTTGGACCTGAACTCTCCAGGGTGGTAGATCTCCAGGACCAGGATTGAGCACTTCTGATCTACGGATACCTTAATTATTATCAAATCTTCTGGTGATTGTAGCTAAGGTCAGGATTAGGGTTGATAGTTGATTTCATTAATATTTAATTGAATATTAGTTATAGACAGACTGCCTATCCACAAAGCATCTACAGTGGACTATCAAAATAAAGTGTTACCAAGCTATAAAATAAAATAAATATATTTAGTTCCCTAAGGAACCTTTTAATTGAGGTTTCCTTGGAGAACCATTTTTGTGACTGGGATGTGAGTTTTATGCCACAAACGGTTCTTTGAGCGATGCCACAGAAGAACCACTTTTAGATTCCTAAAGAACCTTTTAATTAATGGTTCCTAATCATTTTTTGTGAATGAGATGTGAGTGAATAACCTCTAAGTTTAAATAACTTCCACATACTTGTAAAGGAATTGTAACAGAACCCCTAAACTGCTATAGAACCTCACCAACCCCTTTAAAAAGAGCAGCAATATTCTTTGAGCAAGACCCACTTTTGGTTCCCTGAATAACCATGTTTGAAACAGAAATTTGTGAGTGTGAAGAAACTTTTTGAAGCCTAAAAGAAGATATTTTTACCAATTCTTCCTAGAACCTTTTTATCATGAGAACTTTAAAAAGGTTCTTCACACTCATATATCTCATGTACAAAAATGGTTCTCCAAGGAACCATGCATTGAAGGGCTCTTTAGGGAAAGAAGATGCCTTTTATGGCAGTTTTTACATAATGTGACGTTTATTTGAACCTCTAAAAGGTTCTTCATACTCAGATATCTCGTTTTTAAACGGAACCAAAAGTGGTTCTGCAACAGCTTTGTGTAAAGAACCTTTTCTGGCACCTTGTACATTATGTGACGTTTCTTTGAACCTCTAAAAGGTTCTTCACACTCACATATCTCGTTTTTAAACAGGCAACCAGAAGTGGTTGTGGCACCTTTATTATTAAGGATACTTTGTTCATGTGGTAATAATGGACGAATAGAATCAAGTACATTCAGTGCAAGGTTTGTTTGTGGTAAACAGTCCTGACCCTGTTAAAAACAAGCATGCAAATAAATAATAAAGGAAAACCTGGACTAAGTCCCAAGTGTCAGACAATGTCATGTAAACATGACCCAAGTTTACCCTTTGGTGGCTTGTGAACATGTTATCACGTCATGGCTCAAGATAAACTCCGACACCGCGCTGCCAGGTCCGAGTTCGGAGGAATTTTCTTGCTCTTCCATGTTTATGACAGGGTTTCTCTGGCGAGGTGCTGTGAACACATCTTACATCCTCCCCATTCTTAACTACACGACTGCGAGTCCTTGCTTTGACGTTGATGTATGTGAAATAAGTCTCTGATTCTTGTTTGTATTGTTCATGATCAACTGTGTGCAATAAATCCAGCGTAAGTGGGATTTCCAAAGCTTTTCTGGTTCTTTCTATTATATGTGTTAGTTATCTGTGTTTGTTATATGCTAAAAGTCTATATATATGAACACCTAGACAGTGTTTTAGATAAAACCCTTGCTTAAAAATTCTTATGTAGTCTAAGAAATGAAACTGAGACATCAACAAGATTCATATAAAAGTCTGCACTCTGAATAAAGATGGTTTTTCGAGGGTTCTTTAGTAACGGAAACAATTGATCTAGAACCATGATTTCTATATAGAACTATTTCATGCTTCTTTGCATGGCGAGATGGGTCTTCAAATTGATGGAGAATGTGTTGTATATAGAACCTTTTTGAAAATAGCTGTGTATGGCACCAAAGACGGTTCTGTTACTGTTGCGATGTCAAGCTTTTAACAGTAGAAGAACCCTTTTTGGTGCTATATAGGAGCATATACAACACATTCTCCACGTCAACGGTGCCGCCATTTTGGGGAGGTCAACATCGCTGCTGGACTGCATTCAGTACCATTACAGAGCGGCAGTTTAAGAAAGATACTGTCCAAAATTACGCTATTTCAAGAATATTGCACTCAGAAAGTGGGCTAGGATTATATAACGGAGGGAACGCAGTGATCCACGCTCATGTTTGTGTGATGGGTATTGTTTGTGTGATGTTGATGTGTAGATATGGCCGTGTGGTTGGTGAGGCACAAAGAACCTGTTGATGTAATTACGTTTCCTCTGGTTTTATATTAAGCTTATTTCATTTAATAGTCTATTCAGGGGATCTTAACGTTATGTAGTAGTTATTTATTTACAGTGATGCTTAATGCTTTGTAGCGGTAAGTTATAGCATTCCTTAATCCGTGTAGATATTCATGATAGATTAACGTTAGCACCTTCTTACACAAAGCTGAAGTCAGCTTCTTATTTGCCAGCTTCTTGTTTGAATTTTCCCATTCCATCTTAAATGGTGCAGCTTCAGGCACCAGAAAGTGACTGCTGCATCATTTAAGGTGGAGCAAGAAAACTCGAACCCGAAGCTGGCGAATAGGAAGCCAACTTTAGCTTCGTCCTTCTAACTGTGTTTTAGGGGGTTATTTTATTTTTATGTGTATTACGATTAGAAGTGATTCACACATTGATGGATCTGCTGATGTGTGTGAGTTTCTACTCTGCTAAACTCGGTTTTTAACGTCAGGTGCAGACTGAATACTTTCCTGCTGGTCTGGACGGCTAATTATCATGATCAGTTATTAAAGTAATAAAAGCTACCAAGAGCAGTCTGGATTAATCTGTGTCTGAGGATTATAACTAAACAAATTTGGTGAAAATCGGTTGAGAAATAAGGAAGATGTGGCCGATTCAATCCTGAGACTTATCATCTCTCAATACCCGTGAATTTGTTCACAAGCGGATCTTGACCGCTCTAACATGGCGGACGCGCAGATGTAGCGTCTTACACAGAGACCAACAGACAACCCGGCATCTAGGAATGTATATCTATGGCCACAAATGACTTTCTTTACACCCTAATCATTAAATTGTGCTGAAATGTTGAAAAATTTAACTCCCCTTCAAGCCTGGCTAAGAGCGTACAATTTTACAGCCACAGAAGTGATGCTCATGGACAAATCAGGAGTGCTTAAACAGTTTTGAAAGACTCTGAACTCTGAGAAACTCATTACATTGGCTGCTCTGTGTAGTAGTGAAATGACAGAAGTACATCTTAAGGCTTCAGTCCAGATAATGATGATCTGCTTATTCAAACAGAGCTGGCTTGTTCTTTTGAAACACTTATCCCAGCAATTTGAGAACATCCTTTCCTTTCAGGAAATGCCAGTCATTGTGATAACTCTTTTGAAAAGCCTCAGTGTGCAACAGAGGCCCATGCACATTCATTTTGAACACATTCTAAGTATCAGTAAAACCCAAAAACTACAGATCTGGTGTTGGTTGAGTTTTCAGAAATGTACTCATCTTTGGTAGAATAGGGGATGCAAGAAAGTCAAGATTTAGCTTTTTCCACCACTTGTAAAGTGCTTAAACCTGTAGAGGTTTGGAGTAGGAATGTACAATAGATTTGACTGGTTTTTCAAGCTGATATGTGGTGGATTATTTATTTTGCACTGTTAAAAATAAGAGGTCAGCTTAACTCAAAATGATACAGTACTGATTACATGGCTTTTCTTGAGTTGACTCAACTTGAGGACACCAGAGTTCACACAACTCAAACTTCTCAGATGAGTCAAAAGTTCTTTTAATGTTTTAGCTCTGCGTCTCAGTTTGGTAAATAAACTTCTTTTTATGCTCAACTTCCCCTCTAGCCAGAACTCTTTCATACAATCCTGCTAGACATTTTTCCTCTTGGGTACACACTTATGGATGGCTATGGCATCACTGGGGCTCAAACTCACAACCTCTTGTTGGGGTGATGACTTAGTCCACTGCACCACTCAGGAACACATGAAGCAGCTCAGATTTTGTGTCTTTAAGTGTTTAATACACTGAAGAAAGTATTTGTGGGGGCAGTCGTGGGCTGGAGGTTAGGGAACCAGTGGAAGGTCGCCAGCTCGAGCCCCTGAGCCGACAGTATATTACTGAAGTGCCCTTGAGCAAGGCACCTAACCCCCAACTGCTCCCCACGTGCTGTGGATAGGGCTGCCCACTGCTCTGGGTAAGTGTGCTCAATGTCTCCTAGTGTGTGTGTTCACTAGTGTGTATGTGATGTTTCACCGCACAGATGCGTTAAAATGCGGAGATTAAATTTCCCCATTGTGGGACTGATATATCCAGAAGACCAAGAGGAAAACATACCAGATGGGACTGTGTGATAGCAGGAGCGCCAGCTAGTGGCGAAACTGAGTAAAAAACACAGATTATGTTTTGTTTATCTAACTGAGATGCAGACCTAGAAACAGTAGCTGGGGTAATTTTTGACTCAACTCAGAAGTTTGAGATGGGTGAACTCTTGTGTCCTCAAGTTGAGTCAACTCAAGAAAAGCCATGGAATCAGTTATTATATCATTTTAAGTTGAGCAGACTTCAAATTTTTTACAGTGTACCTAACGTTTAGGTGACTTTGGGTTACTGCCCTTATTATTTGCCTTTATTTATTTTACTGTATTTATTTTAAGCCCTATATAAAAAATATATATATATATATTTTTTTTCTTTCATGCTGATCCAGGCAGATTTAGGCCCAGGTTTCCTCTTTTATAAATGTTTATGCATCGGCATTGTACATGAAAAAATCAGATACTGAAATTGGCCTACAGTTTACATTGAGTTTACATTACGTAAATTACATACATATTATATATATATATATATAATTAATTATATAATGTGATTAACTACTTTAAATTGATCATGACACACTTTTTTAATGTCAAAAATGGCTCCAAATGTCATTTTCTTTCCTCAAAGCAAGACTATACAAACAAAAACTTTTCATCAAATTCATTCCATAATAAAATATCTCCTTATACACTTAGAAAGACAAATGTCATATGGATGAAACGTTTAGAATCTGCACGTTCAGGAAAATTTCTCAGCTTGTTTCAATAAACTACAAGAGAGTTAATTCACATTAAATTTATTGCATGCTTTTTTTTTATATCACTGTCTATAAAAATATAAAAAACCCCTGCCCCCCCTTTACCTTTCTGATACTGGAGCCAGAGCTGCTGCTGGGTCTTCTTGCTGGGGAAGTAGATGTTGCAGGTGAGCTCGGAGCCGTACAGAGCCTCAGAGATGTAATGGCTGCCGTACTGCTGGATGAAGGAGAGCAGTTCATCTCGAGTGCTGTCTGCCGTCATGGCCTTCAGGACCTTAGAGAAGCCTGAGACATACAAGCAGAGTGTCAGCATCTGCAGAGAGGGACCAGGCGTCCCAGTACAGTCCCTTATTTCAGCTTGGTTTTAGAGCTCCCAGCTTATTCTCAAAAATCATAACTTTTTTTTTTCTGGTGAACAAACACAAAATAGTGCAGGTTTAACTTTTTGGGAAATGTCTTGCACCCCTGCCCTCCCCCCCACCTCCCCCAGCTGAAGTAGACATTTTAATTGGTTCTGCTGCTGAGTTTGACTGTCTGTTTGTGCCTATAGATCAGTGGGGTGAAAGTTTAGGGAGATGCCCATCCCCTCGGCCCCGATGACGGCTGCAAGAGCCGGCAGGAAGGCGATGCCCGAACTCTAAGCCCAGATATAACCTGCAAAAACAGTGCAGAGAGGATGAAATCTGCAAGGGAGTGGGGGACGGCTCGCGAGTCCCGAGCCCTGAGCCCTGAACCCTGAGCCCTACTTTCTGGGCTCCGCCTCTGGTCCCGCAGCAAGGCCATTTTAATTAGCAGGGCCCTCCTGCCGGCTCTTGCGGCTGTCATCGGAGCCCAGGGGACGGGCACAGGGCATGGTGTGATCACCAATTAGCTCAGCTTTGTAATTTAAGTAATTGGAGGCAGCTGGCTAGCCCAAATCTAGCCACTTCTGCTATGTCCTGACAGTACTGCGAGTGGGTAAAACAAGCTACCACCCTCCAGGCAGCTAAGCTTACTAAGTTAATGTTTTTTAAGTGATAGGGGATGGAATTATAGCCCGTTGTCTACAGGACATTCATGCTTATTTAAGCTTGTATTCAGAACCATTCTGGACCCAGTTTCCCAAAAGCATCCTAGTGGTAGGATCATCTTAACTGGGAGAGAGAGTGTTCAGTGTGATCGCTCAACCATTTAAAAACTTTCTTTGTGCTAGGATGTATTTGAGAAACCCAGCCAGGTAAGAGAAACTGTGGCAGATTGGGAGTGTGATGGATGTATTCATTCTCTTTCTGCCCTGGAGCTTTAAGGCACGAATGACATTTTGCACTGCTGCATTTTATGGGCTCGATGAAGCTGTATGGGAGGACAGACAACCCTCAGTGAATCCAGTATTGACATTTTATGGAAGATCCTTTGAAGACTGAAAGCAAGTGATGCAGTGTTTTGACACTGAAACATCTCTTACTGCCTTAAAAGCACAAGTTCTGCTCAGAGGTTGAACTTATGTTGACGGTCAGACTTTGCCCTGGGCTAGACTCAGGGCCAGATGTACTACGCCTTTGGCTCCAGGTGTCAGGTACAAATAGGACACAGTATACCTGATAAAAGCTTGAGTGTTATATGCAGAACTGCCGTACAAACCTAATCACGCAGTTTATTTCACATGCACAATAGAAAATCTCATACACATGCATTTAAAAGGAGGATTGAACCAAATATAGGCTAGAATATTGGAAATACAGTTTATTCTATATTAGTGTTTCAGTCATGTGATTTTTCTGTTGCAGCCGCCATATTTGGGACTGAATTTCTGGCTTCGCTGCTCCACACAAATGTGACTAGAGGTGAAAGATGGCTAAAATTACTCTCCTTACTTTGGAAGAGAAAAAAACGTTACCTCAACAAAGATTTCCCCCTGAACTCCTGGTCCCATTTAAACTGGCAGAAAGCTACCAAATTTTTTCCTGACATTTATATTTATCTCATACTCAGCCCCTCTCCCTACTCTGGAGAGTCTCTCACAGCATTTAAAAGCACAGAAGCCCACCAGCTCTTCACGTCAGGGTGAGTGAAGGATCTCGTGGTGTTGCATAAAGAGGAGAAAAACTCTTTCTTTTCTTAGGAAGAGTAAGACGACATCAGCTAATTAACACAGATGAGATCAATGCTCGCCTTTAGATAACTTTAGCTGATGTTATCAGCCGAGAGATGAACAGTCGTCCCCCTAACAGAGCTGCAGACAGCCGGTATAACTTTACTCTCTGTTTCTGATTTAAATGAGGTTTGAATGGAAAAACATAAACGTTAAATATCAGACTGAATGTCGTGGGTCTGAAAACGACGTCGTGTTTCGACAGACGTGATTCTGTAAGTTTGTTAGTGCAGTTAGTTCAGAGTTCAGCTCCAGTCCTGCAACCCCTGCACTGCATAGCTGTGGTTTCCCTGGTTAAAATACCTGATATTATTAGCTAATTAATCCCTTATTGAGCTGAATGAGGTGTGAACAGCAGAGAGGAACACTAAACTATACAGTGCAGGGGCTTCAAGCCTGGAGTGAAAACACTGAATTGAAGGTCGGTGTGTCTCTCGTCATTCTCAGCTTCTGTTGCATCTTGAAGGTGAATCATTCACAAAGCACAGCAAATTAAATGCATCACACGAGTGCAGTAACTCCCTGATTCAGTCCTCGAAATGGCAGCGACTATACAGTGTGACGCCACGCGAAAGGCGATAATATTCTGCTTGGGTAGTTTGGATGACTCCAGTGATCAGCTCTGCATGTTCTCTGCTTCTTAAACCCAGGTGTAAAATAGCAGCGTCATGAAGATGTGTTGCTGGGAGACTTTCATTAACAACAGCAGATAGATGGAAGCCCAGGCCTCAAAATGTGCTGAAGAACAGAATGTCACTATATCAACACAATAACACAATTTCAACCCTCAGATCTCCTCCAGAGTTCACTTCCTGACTCCTACACAATGGACCTCTGCATTATTGCTACCCAAATAGACCCACACCCCCCCTGAGGAATGTTTCGGTGGGAAGGAACTTCTTTTATTAACACCGCTCACTGAATATCACTGCATTCTCTCTGTCGTCTTGAGCTTCTTAACACGTCCACCTTTTCACTGCGCTGTAGTTGGCATGATTGGTTACGGCTTTAATAAAATACATGGTAATTTCAGACTCATTGCGAGAACATAGTTCACACATGTCAAGGTACATTTTGGGCTGTGTCTTGTAGTACCAGTCAAAAGTTTGTATACACCTACTTATAGATACGGAAGTCCGGGGAGGCCATGAGCTGTTGCTATAATTTTCTGCATTGTTATCTTGAGATCACACGACAATAACTTGTTTTCTCAAGATAACAACCTTTGATAACTAACTTGTTATTTCAAGGTAACAGAGCACAAGATAATTAACATTATCTACCGATGACAACTTTTGTTATCTCGAGAAAAGATAACAATTTTGTTATCTTGAGATAACAAGATAATGAACTCATTATCTGAAGATACCAGCCAGATAATTATAACTAACTTATGGTCTCTCTGGACTGCTGTGTATAGAAGAGTTTTTTTTTTTTTCTCATTTTTACTATTATTTTACTTACTATTCACATTCTAGCACAACAAGGAAAACATCGAAGCTGTGAAATAACAAGAAATATGAAAAAAAAACCTTGATATCTCAATTTGCCATTTGTGTTTTTGCATTATTTGATAATATCTGCTGCCATTTTCACTACTTAAAATTTAATAAAGAGGAACAACAGAAATGATCCAAAAGACTTAGAATGAAATATTGTTACATTGACTTACAATGAAAGATAAGAATTTTTTTTTTCTTCTCCTGTAAAGTTATATTTACAGACATAGTTATATGTCAACTTGCTGCAATATTTTTTCATTGAATTTATAATTTAATCAGTAAATTAACTGAAAAGAAAATATGTACTTTATGCTCTGCTTATTTTCTAACTTATTTTCTAAAGTTCCATTAACTCACAGTTTTATTGCAACATGTTGACTTATAATTTTACATCATTTTTACAGTGTACTTTTTTGAAGATAAAAGATTTTGTTCCAACAGTGACGATATACAATATATCATATGCAAAACTTTGAACTACCCCTTGTCAAACGACATGTTTTGTTCATTTTTTTAAAGTGGAAATAAGTCAACAAATACATGACCTGCAGAGAACACACTTAAATATGGACAATTTTAAGGCACAGTCTCTGTTTATTTGCTGAGTTTAACATATTGGGGGGAAAAAATAAAATGTGCCATAGGTTTTTTACACAGGCTACATTTTATATTCATTTTAAATGTATTTATTTATCAACTAATATGTTAAATTCAGCAAATACTGTAAAAATGGTGTTAAAATTACTTACATAAACAGTCATAAGATTTGCATTTGTATTTGTTCTTTAAGAAATTTAGCCCTCTCCCCTACAATTCCTCCACCTGTAGAGAGACATATGAAATTTCTTTAAGAGAAGAAGCAGCTTTATCAGGTAAGAAGATTTTGCCAAATTTTAAAATTTGAGCTGATAATCTTTCATTAAGCCTTGAGTTCTTGTTAATCTATAAATCATAGGTTTTGTAAATCATACATGTTAATATGTTATTATAGTATTATTGGTACTCAAATTATTAATGAAATATAATTTTTGACCTTTTTTTAACCCTTGTATGATGTTGATGTGTTTGTTACTCAGTGGTCTGGTGGACCCACCACATTATTGTTTTTTTTTTTTAATCAGTACAGCCATAAAAATATATGTAGAAATACCAGATGTTTAAAATGTCACAAGTGTCCAGCATAGGGCTCTCCTTTAGCAGCTGTAGCCAGTCAGCAGCCTGTCCATGTTGTCCACGCTCACACACATGCACACATATACAAACATACACACACACACACACACACATGTACAAACACATACACACACAGACACACACACACACACACTAACAGCAGGCCATGTAGGAGGACAACAAAGTGAAGGACACAGCACCTCCACAACTCCAACTCCCCGCCGGTTCACCCCAACACCACATGTGTAATATAAATGTGTGGGGGGTGAACAGAGTGAAGACACTGAAAATGGGTTATTTTATATGTTCTTCACAGAAAATGAGCAAAAGACAAGAAATCTGGGGTTGAAATAATAATAAATCTCATCATTTTTTTTTTTGATAAACATTGAAAATGCCTCCCACAGACCCCAACACCACACAAGGGTTAAATCCTCATGGGAAGCATACTTTCAGACCCCAATACTAAAGACTGAAAAATGCATTCAGTTAAATGTGTCCAAACCTTTGACTGGTAGCGTATATCTGGTGGCAGCAGGTCTGATGGGTGGTGCTAGTGCTTTCTCTGTTAGCTCTAGAAAGAAACCAGGATAAGCAATAAAGGAAGTACCGCCGGTGCTAAAGCTCAGAAATACACCTTTGGGAATGAGAAAAGTTGACCTACAGAAAGAGCCCGACAACCTTTTGTTAATGTTCACACTTCACAGAAATGGCCCCAATCCCTATAGGCAACCGTCTAAAAGATGTTGAGAGGATGATGCACTGCCACATCTTAGAGAAATCTTCAGGACATCGTTCTCCTGCCTGGACTATGGGTCGATCCCAGAGAGTCCAATTGTGTAAAACCGGACCCTTAAACACTGTGACAGTAGCCATGTGTACATGCAATTTAATAATCTATTAATAATCTGACTAATAGCTCAATCAGAACAGAATACGTCCATGTAAACACCTCAATCAGAATAGACTAGTCCGGAATACAGTTTCTATCCGATTGAACGAGGCGGGTTATCCTGTAAACAATCCATTAAATAGAAGAAAAATATCCGTGTAAACGCCTGTATCTGATTACATTCCCTATCGGAAAGTTTAAGTACGTTCTGATCATGTTCGTCACGTCGTAGTGAAAGTTTATGATGTTCAACATGACAGAGCAGAAACTGGTCTGCAGAGGAGACGAAGTTTATGCTCTGATCTTTAAAAGACGGCGGTGGGACGGGCATCCAGCTTATGTGTCTCAGAACACGACGTCTTCCTCTCGGCCTTCTTTAATAAGGACATGTGAAGGACGTTTTCCTGCGAGAACTGTAACATGACCTCCTGAGCAGCTCAGTTTACAGAACCATTTACAAAAGTGTTTTATTTATTAATTTATTTATTTTTGTCTCCTTTATTTGGCATCTACCTGTAGACAGTGTGATGGCACTGAGTTTAACCTTGTAGAGGTTGCTGCGGACCCGCCACTGCTGCACCATGGGATACCCCATCCCCTCACTGAACTGGGCATCTCCTGTAGGACACATAAAAAAACATACAAACATGTGCACTATACAAGCATACATATTCATTTTTAATAGTTTGCGGCAGAAGTTTTGTTTACTTCTTTTTCACTTTAAAACTCAACAAAAACATGTAATTTAGGCAAGTTGGCCAAACTTTGCTTACACACACACATGTGATTATAAGCTGATAACTACACAATGCTCCCCAAAAATCTTCCAAACTGTGGCACTGTTTTGTTTATTTGTATTATTTATTCATGTTTAGACCAGTTTCAACTGCTGGTTGTCCAGAATATCAGCATCCAAAACATAACATATCGCTGCGGAACAAAACCTTGTATCTCCATTTTTGCAGTTTTTCAGTTTTTGACAATTTGAAAATCCCTGTTGCCCCTTATATTGTGTGTAAATTTCATTATGAATGGTCTAAAAGAAACCAAAATGACTAGGAAAAATGTCTGGTTCCATTGACTTACATTAAAAGTAAAGCATGTTTTTTCCTTCTCCTGTAAAGTTACCATTTTGGAGATACGAGGTTTTGTTCCGACAACAGCGATATGCTGGTTTTGCTGGGTTTTCTAGCAGGGAAGCTGTTTGTTTTCTTTGTTAGGCCGGGACAAATTGAGCTCACTGTGCTTTTGTTTGTGAAAATAGCTCCTGTATATGAACTGTTATTGTAGGTTATTGCTCAATATTTAGATGTGCTGTTGGTGTAGCTATTCGCTAATTGGTTCTGTGTTTATGTCAAATCCAAAAACAATGAAATAGGCTCAGTTTAGTTATACAGTCGCCAAATAAATGAACACAGTGCACACACAATTTTCAGGTCCACCATTCAATAAATGTCAAACCATCAGTCTGACAACAAGTGCTAAATGCTAACTGAGCAAAATAGCATTGCTAACTGAGAGAGAGCAGCTGAATAGTATTAGCTTAGCATGCTACCAGCTCTGCTAACCTCAGAACAGGTTTGTTTTGGGCTAACAACGCTATGCTGACACAAGTTTAAATGATAATGACTCAAATCTGAGAAAGCAGTGTTGAGTGGCTGGTGTTGGAGGGACAGAAAGCTGAAGTTAAACCTGTTCTGTGGTATTTGGATCAGTAGCCTCCTTGCTATGCTATGGAAAGACCATTAGAACCATAAGGATGACCATCTAATGGAAATTGGCTTAATGGTTACCATTGGAGAACACTAGTTTCCTGTTCCTTTGAGATCCCATTGGGAAACCATCAGATGTATCTGCAATCAGTCCCACAACACCTGCTAAACCATCAGGATCCTTTACATTGTGACATCTGCCCATCAGTAAAAGACCAAAGTATCATTACTGAGTATTGGGCAGCAACAGAATCCAACAGAAACTTTTAATGTTTAGATTTTTTCAGCAGGGTAGTCTAATGCTAACTGGTTACTCTATCCAAGTTAGCAGACCTTTAGCTTTGCTATTGGGCTAATGATCCAAACACCACAATACAAGTTCAGTTCTGAATAACCGGTGCTAGTTTAGATGATAAAAATGTCAGAGAGCAAAGTCGATTGACTGGTGCTGCTGTAGCCAGCTAGGCTAAGCTAACTCTAGTAGAGATAGCAGGCTAAAGGTACCACCCACCAAAGTACAGGCTCAGTTGCAACTAACTAGAGCAGAAATTACACATGTTTAGAACATAAAGATTAATATGTGAAGTTAATGACTGGAGTTGGAGTGACAGAAAGCTAAAAACAAACCTGTTCTGTGGCGTTTTGAGCAGTAGCATCCTAGGCTAAGCTAACCTGAGCATAGTTAGCTTGTAAAAAGGGCCGCCTTCCACAGTACAGACTCCAAATAATGTACAACATATGTTTACAGGATTAAAAAACTGAAAGAGTGCAAAGCTGAGTGACTAATCATGTTCTGTAGTGCTTGTAGCTATTAGCCTGTTAGCCATCACTGAGCCACACTTAGCCTGTTAGCCATCACTGAGCCACACTTGTGCATAGTTTTTCTGCAGTATTTCCTGGTTCTGAGAATAGCAGATAGAAAAAAAATAAACCATAACAGGGAAAAGAGGTCCCTGATAATTCCATTGCTGGGTTTCTGTACATACTGTGTATGAATACAGTGCCTAAATTGTGGCACAGGTAGTGTTTACTGTGCTATACCACCCCTTACTCAGCTCATCAGCTAATTGCTAAGACCTTGATAAGCCAAATTTTAGAATGAAGTGAACTCTTAATATAAATACTGTGACCCTTTAGGACCTGAATCTATTACCCTGCACAATAGCTGCAGGATAAATACTGCTTAATGAAAAGCATAGACTGGATGATGAGGGTTTTCTCAGGAGTATCAAAGCACTCAGGGTCTGATTTCTCACTGCTAACGCTGCCAGGCTCAACAACGGCTCAAATTTGATTTGGCGAAAAACAATCTGCTCTGTAAATTGCATTAGCAACTTTGCTCTAAAAGAAAAAAAAAAAAGAAAAGAAAAGAAATAATTAGTGGCTCTGCTATTGTTCAGCATGAAGTCCAGACAAGGACAGTATACAGCATGGACCTCTGGTGTGCTGAGACTTCTCTGAGGTGTCTCTCAGGCAGCCAGGCAGAAAATTCTGCAGCCAGTTCAGCTAATGGTGGGATTAGGGTCACAGCTTGGGGGCCAACGTGTCACGGAGCAGCCAGACTGCACACAGAGGTGCAAAATAACAAATTATAGCTTCTCTTATGACAGTACTTGAGTAGACCTACATTTTTCACTGTAACAGCACTTTTCTGAGTATAACTCAATCTTAAATACTTTACTTGTACTTGAATAAAGTGTTTAATTTAAGTGTTTTCAATGTGGATAACCATTTCTGATCTCTCCAACTCACAACTCGACATTCTACCCAAAGACGCAGTTACACTGTATGGACAAAAGTATTGGGACACCTCTTAATTATTCAGAGTTCAGGTGTTTCAGCCACACCCATTGCTAACAGGTGGATAAAATTAAGCACATAGCCTTGAAATATCGATAGACAAACACTGGCAGTAGAACAGGTTGTACTGGTGAGCTCAGTGACTTGTAAAGCACACCACCACTGGACTCTGGAGCAGTGGAAACACATTCTGTGGAGTGACAAATCACGCTTCTCTATCTGTCAGTCTGATGGACGAGTCGGAGATGGTTAATGCCAGGAGAATGTTACCTGACTGACTGCACTGTTCCAGTTGTAATGTTGGTGGAGGAGGGATGATGCTATGGGCATGTTTTTCAGGGGTTGCCCAGGTCTCTTAGTTCCAGTGAGGGGAAATCTTAATGCTTTAGCAGACCAATACATTTTGGACAATGCTGTGCTTCCGACTTTGTGGGAACAGTTTGGTGAAGGCCCTTTTCTGTTCCAGCATGACTGAGACCCAGTGCACAAAGCAAGGTCCATAAAGGCCTGGCTGGGTGAGTTTGGTGTGGAAGAACTTGACTGGCCCTCACAGAGCCCTGACCTCAACCCCATGGAACACCTTTGGGATGAACTAGAACGGAGATTGCGAGTCAGGCCCTCTCGTCCAACATCAGTGTCTGACCTCACAAATGCTCTTCTAGATGAATGGGCAAAAATTCCCACAGACACTCTCCAAAATCTTGTAGAAAGCTTCCCAGAGGAGTGGAAGCTGTTACAGCTGCAAAGGGGGGACCAACTCTATATTAATACCTATGGATTTAGAATGAGAGTCATAAAAGCTCCTGTAGCTGTCCAAATACTTTTGTCCATACAGTGTTATATTTTGTCATTTTATACAGCACAGTGCTTAAAGCTTTCATCTTTGAGAGAGAGGAGAAAATCAAGCTGCTTCAGATCTGAAAACATCCACAGGTGTTTCTGTCCATCCTTCCACTGTGAGAAGACGACTCAGTGCTGTGGGTCGCTGTCAAGAAGAACCTCACTGAGAAAAGCAAGAAAACTTGCACTAGAACAATAAAACTGGATATCAGAAATGTGAAGTAAGGTTTTATAGACTGTCTCTGTCTCTGGAAATCTCTGGAAAAGAATGGAAGCTGTACTGATATACTTTTATATCTAGTAAGCTTTTGAGTAGTTAAATATACTTTCGGTTTATTTTTCCTGATGCTGGAAATGACCAATGCATACTTAATGGCTGTTTTGACTGGAAATTAAATACATGAAGGGTGTTCTTTGACTTTTGCATAGCACTGTTAATCAATCATAATAATGTTGTATGTATATTTTACCGTGAGTGCCTGTTAGCTAGCTGATTTACGCAAAAATACTCTAAATTAAAGCTAGCTAGCCAGTGAACCCAGTAAAACCATGAGCATTGGATCTTATTTCTGTAAGACAAATATTAACATAAAATAACTAAAAAAGTATTTCATTTGAATAAACAACTTATTTACTCCTACTGGAATCTTTTTCCATAGTAACACTCTCCCTCATCTTTGAGTGAAAGATCTCTATAGTAGCAATGCTCGTATTTAAGTTGAGGTTTTTGTGCTTTGTCCACTCCTGATGGGAGTGAGAGACAGACCTGTGAGGAGTTGCAGGTTGGGCATTGGTTCAGACAGCACTCCTCTACACTGCTCTTCCACTGGCAGGGGGATGACCATCAGTCCGTCCGCCAGCTGAGGGAAGTCCTTGATGAAGTTGTTATCCCTGTGGGAAACAAGGAACGTTAGAGGAACATTTTAGCAATAAAAAAAATAAAAAAAATAAAAAATTCTGGGACAAAGTGCAGTTTGCAGCTGTCAGTATAGCAGAGTGAAGATAAAATTACGGCAAGAACAGCAACGCTGCAAGCATAGATGACACAGAGCTTCAGCAGACATGAGAAGTTGTTCTCCCTGATTTCATAATAACTCTTCGAAAAAGTTATTAGCATTGAAATCTGTATTTATTAAATGCAACCAGATGATAAACTGCCAGGTAAACATCACTGAGTGTGTTTACATGCACTTAATAATCTGATAACTGCAGAAAATCAGATTTTGTCAGGAATCTCATCCACGTGTTTACGTTTACTTGAGTAATCAGATAATGGGAAAACTTCGGGTCTACATGAGTCAGACAGTAATCAGATTTCTGCTTTACCAGCCAATAAACGACAGAAGAAAACTTGATGTAAACGTAATGTAAAACTCATGCCACAGCTTTTTTTTTTTAAACATTGTGCCACATTACCTGAAAATATGAACTTTCATCATCTAGAAGATGAAGATAATTGAAACCCTTCATTTCATTAAGTATGTAGTTGGTTTCAGCGTCGTTTTAAAAACAAAAGTGTTCTATTGCTGTCTTGCGGGTGCTGCGTTAAACCTGCTTGCTTCTTTCCAGTACTGCCGTCTGTTTTTGCACATGCACAGACTGAGCAGACTGAAAGAAATCAGAGTAAGAGTTTACATGCACTGAAAAATCTGATTACTGGGCTAAAATCCAGCTCTCTTTAGATTAGATTTCTAGACCTCACTCTGATCTAAGAAATCAGAGTATACTGTTTACATAACCATTTGAATAATCAGGTAACTGCAGAAATGCAGTTATGCTTGGATTATTCAGTGCATATAAACACTCTCAATGTTTCAGCTAATAGACTCTTTTTAACTGGTTTACACGTTATATTCTCTTTACTGGATTCTGCCCTCACTAGAGTTGACTGAGCAGGCAGCAGAAAACTAATCAGCTATCAGACTTCAAGTTCAAGCCTTTGAATAAAGCATTATTTAAAAACCTTTAAAAATATACAAAGTAAAGAATGTTACTAATGTGCATGTTATGAGCTAAAAATGTCTGTATTTAAACAAGGGCTGGCATAAAAGTCCCAAATAGCACAGAACTAAGGACAATGTTGAAAATATCAAGAACATTATTGAAGAACTGGTTTAAAAAACAAATTTCTGTATTAGACATTGCTGTAATAGCATTGCTTTGTGGTTTTCTGCCTGTAAGTGACTCTCATTGTAAACAGAGTTAAAAAGTTTAAATTAAATGACTTTATTAGAGTGAATAAGGGTGCAGGGTATAAATAGGATCCTCTGACTAAGGCCTTTCTCTCACACGGGCTCAGGTTTCTGCTGACAAATCGATTAAGCTACAAACATTCAACAAGAAAGATCATTGATATTTTTATACAACATTTTTCATTATGTCAGGATGTTACAAGCATTCAACATATTGTCTGTTTATGCTCCACCTGAAGATCAGTCCATGAGACACTCAAAGCATCTTGGGGTGCAGGAATAAAGCGGATAGACCTGCTTATATGGTGTGTCTGAGTGTGTGATATATAGTTGTTTGTAAAAACAGAAGGAAAAAGTCATTGTGTTTGGCTGCTAGTACTGTTTTCAGCCATGCGAGGAATTTTCCTCCATTTCTATAGATATACAGTTAAGCATTAGCCTTGTAGCTCGAGTGCAAATAGAAGGAAACTCTGCACACCAAACATGTCTCGCCTGATTTTCTACATTTGGGGTGAGAAGAAAACTGTGTACGCTTGATTTTTGACCCTGTTTCTAAATAGGGTGAAGCATTTTCACACTTGTGGAGACTTCATGACCAATCCAGCAGCGTCTCTGGCTCCACACTGGTGGTATGGATTAGCCATGAGGTCATCCACTCCTTTCTAAGTGGAGAAGGCGAGTGTTTGGAGTGATAGAGTGCACTGGAGGAATTTAGAGCGAGTCTGGAGCGAGAGCTGAGCCGGCGGTGGGCCGGGCCAGATTGACTGGAGCTCGTGTGATGACTGACTGGGCCTTAAAGGGCAGAGAAGGGACTGAGCAGAGATTGGAACGCAGCACTGGAGCTGCATGGAGAGATAAGCGAGGAGAGAGAGAGAGAGAGAGAGAGAGAGAGAGAGAGAAAGAGAGAGAGATTTTACACAAGTAGGGGGCAGCATTCACAGCTGCAGAACTAAAGGTCCTCTCTCTTCTAAGACCATGAGCCAGTACATCTGTGCATGAGAGATAGAGTGAAAAAAAGACAACAAACGGAGAGATAGGAGCAGATTTGCTTTAAGAAAATACACAAACAACATCAAATGCTTCACCTGATTGATTTTCAAAGGAGGAGCCAGTCTGCTGAGAGAAGGAGGATTCGTTTCACATCTTTACTGGTTTTGAAAAAAAGTTCTCAGGCTGAGAATGTAAGGAAATAAAAATGTATAGCTGAATGAATTATGGTCATTTAATTTAATGATTTTTCTCTCCAATGTCTTGTCTAATGTCCTGTGTGCAGACTTTGACCGTTTAAAACCAAAATGAAAAGTGCTTTATAAACACAGATTTTATATATTTATCAAAGTATCACTCCATTAAAATGGTGCTGTATTATAAATTCTAACTAATATAACAGGAATCAGAGTTAAAATAATGCTAACATATAATCTTCAGATTCTATATTTTGTGCCATATTAGCACAGTGATTAGTTAACAACAACAACTATGAAGGGACAAAGACAACAGAGCAAACACAAAAAACATAACCGTAAAACTGCTTATTTAAATGTAGAATATTAGAATAAAAAGTGAAAGCAAGACTCATTATTTCAAACACAATAGGTGGAATAACATTAAATAACACTAAATAACAATAAATAATTAACAATAAATTGGTAAACATATGCATATTCTGTATATCAATGTTGTTGGAACAAAACCTCGTATCTCCAAAATGGTAACTTTACAGGAGAAGGAAAAAACATGCTTTACTTTTAATGTAAATCAATGGAACCAGACTTTTTTCCAAGCAATTTTAGGCCATTTCCTTTGGTCCATTTATTATAAAATTTATACACAAAGTAAAGGGCAACAGGCATTTTCAAATTATGAAAACTAAAAATGACAAATATATATATATATATATATATATATATATATATATATATATATAGAGAGAGAGAGAGAGAGAGAGAGAGACCATATTATGTAGCATAACAGTGTATAATTTGTAATACACACTGTGACTGTCGTTGTATTTATTATATTATTTGTATGTATTTGTTAATGGTTTGTATTCTGTTTGTAAGTGAGCACCAATTTCATACACTCTTCATACACTGTACATGTTTTTGTCCAGTACAGCCAGACTGATTCTGATAATAAAGGTCAATAAAACACTGCAAACAGCGACGAGGTGAAAGAAGCGTGCTAAATGTACACTCTCAGAAATCACTGGGGTGGAACCCTCAAGGGTACATCTCAGTACCTTTAGTCAGGGAACATAACTGTACCATAGTTGTATTGACTCCACACACCCCGTCTCGTCTCCAGACTTTTATTTTATTGCTCTGTTTTAAAACATCAGGTGAAAAAGGTACAAAGGTACAAATATGAACTATGAAAAGGTACAAATATGTACTTTACACCTGGAAAAACTTATTTAAGCTTCACAGTTGGACCTTAAAACCACTGTTGCACCTTTGAGGGAACATTTACATTGTTTGAACCTTGATGAAGGAAAAATGTACCTGCACAGAACCTTTATTTCTAACTGTGTAGTGGACTTCTTAGTGCTTTCCTTTGGAAGCACGCACTTGAATACAAAGCCTCTATGTCTCTCTCTCTTTCTCTTTCACTCTCTCTTCCTCCTTTCTATCCATCTTCTCTGACTTTCACAAGGGATTTCAGTGGAGCAGGGTGAAACCGCAAGAGCCTGTTAGAGGCAATCAGGACATCCTTTACTGGAACAGGAGAGAGAGAGAGAGAGAGAGAGAGAGAGGAGAAGAGAGAGGTAAAATGAGAGAGAGTGAGATATTGAGAGATAAAGAGAGACAGAGGAGAGAGAATGATATATAGACAGAGAGAGAGAGGGAGGAGAGAAAGAAAAAGGTAGAAAGAGAGAGAGTGAGATATTGAGAGATAAGGTAAGAGACAGAGGAGAGAGAATGATATATAGATAGAGAGAAAGAGAGGACACAAAGAAAAGAGAGAGGTAGAATGAGAGAGAGTGGGATATTGAGAGATAAAGAGAGACAGAGGAGAGAGAATGATATATAGATAGAGAGAGAGAGAGAGAGAGAGAGAGAGAGAGAGAGAGAGAGAGAGAAAGAGAAAGAGAGGACACAAAGAAAAGAGAGAGGTAAAATGAGAGAGAGTGAGATATTGAGAGATAAAGAGATATATAGATCTATATAGATAGAGAGAGAGAGAGAGAGGGAGAGAGAGAGAGAGAGAGAGAGAGAGAGCACTGTAAAAAGATCACTCGTCCGTGCTCACAGAAATCCATCGATTGGTAAATTAAATCAGCGAGCGTCTCGTGGCCGCGCGGCCGTGAGAGCTGACGAGTGTTCTCAGCACAAGGCCTCACTGTATGGATTTTTCTCCTACATAAAGGTTTGTCCTTGTCACCAGCGTGAGCTCGTTAACAGTCCGTCTGTTTAGACTGGGCGGGGCTTAATGTTCTCTGCTCCTTTAGGACGGCCGTGTATGTTCTGGACAGAAGCTGCTAAACGGCTTTTTCATGGTCATCACTGGCAGTTAAAAGCTGAATGGCTGGAGCCCAGAGGCTGAACAATATATCATTCTGTTAGTCGTTATTGCGTTACTGCCCTTTGGAATACTGATATCATAAAAGGTTGCAATATGCAAATGAGCCCTCTAACCAATTACAGTGATTTTTACAGTTTTTTTAAACAGGGTTTGTGTGGGTGTGATTGTACATCA